AATCGAAAAGCAGTTCTGTGTCAGTTTTAATAGCACTATCAACTCTGTATACTGCGTTTGTTGATGCTGTTTAAAGATTCTGACTAAAATTATAATAACCAGCAAAAAGGTATAAAAACGGGTCATTTCTTTAAGTAATCAGTGTTTTTCAAACATTATAGTTCAGCCAAAAATGAGTTCATTTCAATTCGGAAGGCTGTTCTGTGCTAATTTTTATAGCGCTAACAAATCTGCATACTGCGTTTTTCAATTTAAAAAGTTTAATTTTTTGTCGAATTTTGACAATTTTAATGATGTAACCCCTTATCGTTTTTTGATATTTTGAATCAAAATGAAAAAATGTATTTTTCCACAAGACATGGCTAGATCGATTCAGCTTTTCATTCTGATCTAGAATATATATGACTTATAGGCTCGAAAATGATTCCTTCATGGTGTTATAAGCTTCTGATTAATACTAATACCCTGCAAAAAGGTATAAAAACTGTCAATTTTTTTAAATAACCAGTGTTTTTCAAACCTCATAATTAAGTCAGAAATGCATTAATTTCAAATCGGAAAGCTTTTCTGTGTCAGTTTTAATAGCATTATCAAATCTGCATACTGCGTTTGTTGATGCTGTTTAAAGATTCTGACTAAAATATAACAACCTGCAAAAAGGTATAAAAACGGGCCATTTCTTTAAGTAATCAGTGTTTTTCAAACATTATAGTTCAGCCAAAAATGAGTTTATTTTAATTCGGAAGGCTGTTCTGTGCTAATTTTTATAGCGCTAACAAATCTGCATACTGCGTTTTTCAATTTAAAAAGTTCAATTTTTTGTCGAATTTTGACAATTTTAATGATGTAACCCCTTATCGTTTTTTGATATTTTGAATCAAAATGAAAAAATGTATTTTTCCACAAGACATGGCTAGATCGATTCAGCTTTTCATTCTGATCTAGAATATATATGACTTATAGGCTCGAAAATGATTCCTTCATGGTGTTATAAGCTTCTGATTAATACTAATACCCTGCAAAAAGGTATAAAAACTGTCAATTTTTTTAAATAACCAGTGTTTTTCAAACCTCATAATTCAGTCAGAAATGCATTAATTTTAAATCGGAAAGCTGTTCTGTGTCAGTTTTAATAGCACTATCAAATCTGCATACTGCGTTTGTTGATGCTGTTTAAAGATTCTGACTAAAATTATAATAACCAGCAAAAAGGTATAAAAACGGGCCATTTCTTTAAGTAATCAGTGTTTTTCAAACATTATAGTTCAGCCAAAAATGAGTTCATTTCAATTCGGAAGGCTGTTCTGTGCTAATTTTTATAGCGCTAACAAATCTGCATACTGCGTTTTTCAATTTAAAAAGTTCCATTTTTGTCGAATTTTGACAATTTTAATGATGTAACCCCTTATCGTTTTTTGATATTTTGAATCAAAATGAAAAAATGTATTTTTCCACAAGACATGGCTAGATCGATTCAGCTTTTCATTCTGATCTAGAATATGTATGACTTATAGGCTCGAAAATGATTCCTTCATGGTGTTATAAGCTTCTGATTAATACTAATACCCTGCAAAAAGGTATAAAAACTGATAATTTTTTTAAATAACCAGTGTTTTTCAAACCTCATAATTCAGTCAGAAATTCATTAATTTTAAATCGGAAAGCTGTTCTGTGTCAGTTTTAATAGCACTATCAACTCTGTATACTGCGTTTGTTGATGCTGTTTAAAGATTCTGACTAAAATTATAATAACCAGCAAAAAGGTATAAAAACGGTTCATTTCTTTAAGTAATCAGTGTTTTTCAAACATTATAGTTCAGCCAAAAATGAGTTCATTTCAATTCGGAAGGCTGTTCTGTGCTAATTTTTATAGCGCTAACAAATCTGCATACTGCGTTTTTCAATTTAAAAAGTTTAATTTTTTGTCGAATTTTGACAATTTTAATGATGTAACCCCTTATCGTTTTTTGATATTTTGAATGAAAATGAAAAAATGTATTTTTCCACAAAACATGGCTAGATCGATTCAGCTTTTCATTCTGATCTAGAATATGTATGACTTATAGGCTCGAAAATGATTCCTTCATGGTGTTATAAGCTTCTGATTAATACTAATACCCTGCAAAAAGGTATAAAAACTGATAATTTTTTTAAATAACCAGTTTTTTTCAAACCTCATAATTCAGTCAGAAATTCATTAATTTTAAATCGGAAAGCTGTTCTGTGTCAGTTTTAATAGCACTATCAACTCTGTATACTGCGTTTGTTGATGCTGTTTAAAGATTCTGACTAAAATTATAATAACCAGCAAAAAGGTATAAAAACGGGCCATTTCTTTAAGTAATCAGTGTTTTTCAAACATTATAGTTCAGCCAAAAATGAGTTTATTTCAATTCGGAAGGCTAATTTTTATAGCGCTAACAAATCTGCATACTGCGTTTTTCAATTTAAAAAGTTCCATTTTTTGTCGAATTTTGACAATTTTAATGATGTAACCCCTTGTCGTTTTTTGATATTTTGAATCAAAATGAAAAAATGTATTTTTCCACAAGACATGGCTAGATCGATTCAGCTGTTCATTCTGATCTAGAATATATATGACTTATAGGCTGGAAAATGATTCCTTCATGGTGTTATAAGCTTCTGATTAATACTAATACCCTGCAAAAAGGTATAAAAACTGACAATTTTTTTAAATAACCAGTGCTTTTCAAACCTCATAATTCAGTCAGAAATGCATTAATTTTAAATCGAAAAGCAGTTCTGTGTCAGTTTTAATAGCACTATCAAATCTGCATACTGCGTTTGTTGATGCTGTTTACAGATTCTGACTAAAATTATAATAACCAGCAAAAAGGTATAAAAACGGGCCATTTCTTTAAGTAATCAGTGTTTTTCAAACATTATAGTTCAGCCAAAAATGAGTTTATTTCAATTCGGAAGGCTGTTCTGTGCTAATTTTTATAGCGCTAACAAATCTGCATACTGCGTTTTTCAATTTAAAAAATTCCATTTTTTGTCGAATTTTGACAATTTTAATGATGTAACACCCCTTATCGTTTTTTGATATTTTGAATCAAAATGAAAAAATTTATTTTTCCACAAGACATGGCTAGATCGATTCAGCTGTTCATTCTGATCTAGAATATATATGACTTATAGGCTCGAAAATGATTCCTTCATGGTGTTATAAGCTTCTGATTAATACTAATACCCTGCAAAAGGTATAAAAACTGATAATTTTTTTAAATAACCAGTGTTTTTCAAACCTCATAATTCAGTCAGAAATTCATTAATTTTAAATCGGAAAGCTGTTCTGTGTCAGTTTTAATAGCACTATCAACTCTGTATACTGCGTTTGTTGATGCTGTTTAAAGATTCTGACTAAAATTATAATAACCAGCAAAAAGGTATAAAAACGGGCCATTTCTTTAAGTAATCAGTGTTTTTCAAACATTATAGTTCAGCCAAAAATGAGTTCATTTCAATTCGGAAGGCTGTTCTGTGCTAATTTTTATAGCGCTAACAAATCTGCATACTGCGTTTTTCAATTTAAAAAGTTCCATTTTTTGTCGAATTTTGACAATTTTAATGATGTAACCCCTTATCGTTTTTTGATATTTTGAATCAAAATGAAAAAATGTATTTTTCCACAAGACATGGCTAGATCGATTCAGCTGTTCATTCTGATCTAGAATATATATGACTTATAGGCTCGAAAATGATTCCTTCATGGTGTTATAAGCTTCTGATTAATACTAATACCCTGCAAAAAGGTATAAAAACTGTCAATTTTTTTAAATAACCAGTGTTTTTCAAACCTCATAATTAAGTCAGAAATGCATTAATTTCAAATCGGAAAGCTTTTCTGTGTCAGTTTTAATAGCATTATCAAATCTACATACTGCGTTTGTTGATGCTGTTTAAAGATTCTGACTAAAATATAACAACCTGCAAAAAGGTATAAAAACGGGCCATTTCTTTAAGTAATCAGTGTTTTTCAAACATTATAGTTCAGCCAAAAATGAGTTTATTTCAATTCGGAAGGCTAATTTTTATAGCGCTAACAAATCTGCATACTGCGTTTTTCAATTTAAAAAGTTCCATTTTTTGTCGAATTTTGACAATTTTAATGATGTAACCCCTTGTCGTTTTTTGATATTTTGAATCAAAATGAAAAAATGTATTTTTCCACAAGACATGGCTAGATCGATTCAGCTGTTCATTCTGATCTAGAATATATATGACTTATAGGCTGGAAAATGATTCCTTCATGGTGTTATAAGCTTCTGATTAATACTAATACACTGCAAAAAGGTATAAAAACGGACAATTTTTTAAAATAATCAGTGTTTTTCAAACCTCATAATTAAGTCAGAAATGCATTAATTTTAAATCGGAAAGCTGTTCTGTGTCAGTTTTAATAGCACTATCAAATCTGCATACTGCGTTTGTTGATGCTGTTTAAAGATTCTGACTAAAATTATAATAACCAGCAAAAAGGTATAAAAACGGGCCATTTCTTTAAGTAATCAGTGTTTTTCAAACATTATAGTTCAGCCAAAAATGAGTTTATTTCAATTCGGAAGGCTGTTCTGTGCTAATTTTTATAGCGCTAACAAATCTGCATACTGCGTTTTTCAATTTAAAAAATTCCATTTTTTGTCGAATTTTGACAATTTTAATGATGTAACACCCCTTATCGTTTTTTGATATTTTGAATCAAAATGAAAAAATGTATTTTTCCACAAGACATGGCTAGATTGATACAGCAGTTCATTCTGATCTAGAATATATATGACTTATAGGGTCGAAAATTATTATTATAATACCCTGCAAAAAGGTATAAAAACAGGCAATTTTTTCGAATAATCCAAGTTTTTAAAAACTCATTCCAATCAATATTTCAATTATACGATCATATAAACGGCAAGGGTATAAAAACATCGGCATGCCGAAGTTAGCTTCCTTTCTTGTTTCATATTTAACATTCATTTCAGTGGCGAGGAACAATGGGGTTGCCCGTGCAAGTACCCAGTCAGCTGACATCTCTTCTTAGCTGTGGCCTGTGCCGTCGTCCCTATGACCTCGAAACCCGACGCCTGCCCAAGGAGCTGGTCTGCCAGCACAGCTTCTGCGAGGAGTGCTTGGCCAGGAGCCTCATTCGAGAAACCTACGAATGCTTGTGTCCAATTTGCGGTGCTCGGACCGCTTTGCTCGGACGAAAGTTGCCGGAAACGAAGGCCATCATGTTTCTGCTGCGTGAGCTTCCGGCTCTGGTGCTGGGCAGAGCCATGCTGGGTTTCTCGCGGGGGAGCAGCAGCTCCATTGAAGTTGTAGGTGAGCAGCAAGCCTTCTCCTCGGGGAACTGGGTGGACCAGATCTGCGTGAACAGCTTCCTGGCCAGCAGCAGTGAGCATTGCCTGATCCATGCCATGCCGAACTCCACGTGGTGCCACAGCTGTCAGCTGTTGTTATGCCGCGCCTGCGCAGATGGTGTGACGCATCGTGACCACCGCCTCACCCGCCAGCTGGACTACCTGGAGCTGATGCGCCAGCTTCTGTCCGTCGAGGTATCCAAGATCAAACGCGCTGCTACACAGGTTTCGGAATTGGCCGCCCGCGAGCTGAACTTGCTTCGGCAGTTGTGCGAGGCCTGCTTCCGGTTGCAATTGCATGTGAAGCGCGAGACCCAGCAGCACAAGGCCTCCCTGGTTTCCCATCAGATGAACGGATGGAGTGTCCGTGCCGAGCACGAACTGAACAGCTGCAGTGCGCTCCACTCTGGCACGGATCTACGTAATCTTCTCTCGCGTTTTGTGATTCAGCGTCGTAAGTGCGAGAGGCAGCTCGTGGAGGTGCATTTCCAGTGTCGCATGCGGGCCGGTATTCAGGAGAATGGCATGCAGGTCCTGGACTTTGACTCCTTGAATAACAGGGTCCTTAAACTGCGCAACAATCCGCGTCCGGGCAGCATACCCGCCAATGTGGAGCCACCGCCGGCACTCATTCTCACCAACTACTGCGTGTTCGCCTACTGGAACGAGTTGCAGAATCGACTGATGCCGTCTAAGCTGCTGCCCCAGTCCAGGGTAACGCGAGAAGTGCAGCCGGAAGAGCGCAATCAAAATGAGGTGGTACTAGCACGCTACTTCTCCCGCGCCGAGAACTTCAATCGTGAACGCGAGGGCTCAATTAATTCCGTCAGCTCCTCGGCCAGCAACAGCAGCAGCTTGGTCTCGCTTCAGCCGCATACGTGGTCCGAAAACAATCAATTGCAATTCAATGGCACGCATCAAGAGCTTCAGTCCGAGTCCCAGTTGCATCAGCAGCGGCAACAAGAGATGAACTTGCGTCTGGCGCATGAAGAATTAAGGCTGCAGCAACAGCTTCATCAACAGCAGGTGGAGCAGCAGCAGCAGCAGCAGCAACAGACGCTGGCTATTTTCCGACAGGACGATCCCAACTGGAGTCATGGGCTGCGTCCGATATTGGCACAGCATGATAATTCCAGATCCAGTCACTTGGTAAGCATAGCCCGTCCGCCCACCGTTCACTGTTATCCAATCTATTATATGGACATGGACATGGCAGGGGAACTGGCCGGTCGAGTACTAGTGGAGGTGCGTGACGATGTCGCTCCCCGGATGTCGAAGAACTTTGGGTCCCTCATTCGGCATGACCGAGGCTATGGCTATCGCGGATGCTCCGTTTTCCAAGCTTGGGGAGGCGAGAGCATCATCTGCGGGGACTTTGAATGTAACAACGGGCGTGGTGGCCACTCCACCTTCGACACGCGATACTTTATGCCGGATGACACGGGACTGCCAGCCCACCGAGGAACCGTTGGGATGCGCAGAGGTCAGAGGCGGCAGGATAGGAGTGGCTTTGTCGGCAGCCAATTCCGGCTGGTGCTCAACGAGATGCGCTCCTTTACGGCCATCTTTGGGTACATTGTCGAGGGCATCGAAGTGGTGGACCGGATTGCTGCCACAGGAAATGCCATTGGACGGCTGGCAGTGAAGTGCATCATCCGCAATTGCGGCGAATATCATATTAACCGATAAGAAAAGCGACCGAGCCCCACATACCAATGTCAATATTGATGTATACACCCTTGTAAGAGCTATATGAATGTTTTTGAATACATATACATACATATATGTTTAAAAGGAATAATAATGATTTTGGTACGAATTTTTCGTAGCAATAAATATATCCATTTCTAATGTCAAGAAGCAGGTTAGGAACAGATTTTGAGAACAATTTAAGGAAACCAACCATTTTAGATTCCGAACAACAGGAATTCGAACACACTAGGGAGATTTTTATACAAACACTTTACAATCTTTACAATCAAAACAAAATATTTGAAGTTTTAAAAACAATATAAACCTTTTGGAGGCTCTTTTAAAGTATGAGAACAAAAAAAAACGACTAACAGAAATTCGTCTTTGGAATTTATAAAGAAAATTGAATGAGCATTAAATTCATAAACTAGTTTTCAGGTAGGAATTATGAATGGAAATCGTATTAAATCGTAATCGATAGCATAAGGAAAGACACTAATTGGTGTCTAAGCGCTGCGACGTTACCTGGATATAAACAATAAACCTACAAATATGCTGACACGCGGACTCTTGAAAAAGAATCGTTGGTAAATTGGTAAAACTATACAAAGCAAATACAAGCTCATAAAAAATAGGTGAAATCGGAATATGCTTATGATAAAGAAACTTAAATACTTAAAATATCCATGCAACGTATATAAATATCAAGAGTTATTTGGTGTCTACAGTATATGAATTCGTGTTGCCAGAAGTAAGACTAAATGTGATTGGTCAAGCAAAGAATATTAAACGAAAAAGCTATCGGATTATAATTAAGGGAAATCGTGAACAAAAAAAAATTATAATAGAAGTATTATGTTCAAAACGAAAATCGAAAGTATTTTTAAATAAAATTAATTTTAAACACTAGGTTATAAATTAAACCTATTAGGCCAAATATTACACATTTGTTTACGAAACGAAATTAACAAAATTCAAATAACTATTGTATTGAGTTATACGAAAAAGGATCATATTCGAGAATTATACTATGTATTAGATAGAGAGGATTAAAAACCCAAAATGAAAGGATTAAACCCTCTGCAAGGGAATATATTAAAAAACAAAAATTAAATAAAATCTGCTTCCATTTGTAAGTATACCCAGAACAAGTAGTTTACAGTTTGCGGTTACTTTTGTTGTTATTATACTTTGGTATATCGGTTAAATAAGAAGAGGGAAACATCTGGACAAAATTGTGATCAAGAAACGCTCAAAGGGCTCCATTACAAATTCCAAAATTAATAGAAACACTCTGTTTCTGTCTCTGATCTCATTTGTGCCATTGTGTGTATGAATGTCTCAAGGTATACGATATTAAAAGGCATGCAAATTCTGCCAGGAAGTCCCAGAGCAATAATAAGTAGTACAAAAGTAATGACCTATGAGAACATTAATTCATTCACACAATCCGCAAAGTATTTGAATAATATCAGCATTAAAACCAATTTGTGTATGTTTGAATGTAGCCTAAACTAATCACAAATAATAATTATAAATGTCTAAATATGGAAATCGTTGAGTGTGTAAATGTGAAATAAAGTTCAATAAAATTCTCCCCCGTTAACCATAATTATTTCTTTTCAGGGAATATAATTTGTTTCTCTTTATCCTATTTGCTGAACGCACTTAGTCAAACTTTCTACAAGAATAAGAATATGGAATATGTCACTTACCTTATAGAAAACGTCTGGAACATATTGTTTGTCTGTGGACTCCCGCACATAGCCCAGCTCGGGCGCATCCTTAGTGGGTATCAGGCATTTATCACGCACCAAAGCCATACACTGAGCGGATACCGCATAGCCCTCCATGTGCACTTGTTTGGTTTTATCTCCTAAATGACCAAATAAAAATTATTTATAAAAGGTAGAAGCAGAGAACGCCACACAATACTTACCCGTCACACAAATGGTCACGAACTTTGAGCCAAAGACGCCACTGGAGGCATATTTACAGGGATTTGGATGGCGATTCTGCAGCTCGCCGGCTGTGATGCACTCCTGGGCCGTGATAAAGTGCGACTCGATGCCTCGGATCTGTTTAACAGTGCCGGCACTCGCGTCCTCCGTGATGAGATCTGTGAAAATCCAACCAATCTTTTCGAAAAATAAACAATTAGCATTTATCGCATAATTAACATTAATATCCTCACCTTCTTCAGTCCCAGCGCATTTGCCACGGCATCGACATCGTCGGCTCCCTCATCCGGCTGAATGTTGATCGAGTCGCGTGTTGACTCCTGCGGCGGTTCATAGATGGCTGCCACCTTTGCCCGAATACCAAGCGGAACATCCGTGTGCTGCTCGTATGTCCCATACAGATAGCCCATGCGCTGATGACCAGTTGTGCGCCAGTAATTCAGGAATCTCTCAACAATCTTGGTATTCTCGAACATAACATTGTCCACGTGGCGGTAGGTCTGACGATTCAGAGTGATGGCAGACGGCTGACACTTGGAACAGATGCCTTTGGGCCATGGCGGATGTTCGCGACAGCCGGGCTTGATGCGGCAGTTGATATCATCGAAGACAAAGTACTTTCCTTGATCCATGCCCGAAGTCTGTTTGCGTATGTACGAATGGAAGGACAAGTGCTTGATGTTCTGCTCCTTCAGATAGGCCTCATTGTAGGGCTCCAGGGCGGAGCAGTGGACGCAACGGCCGTTGGCATTATGATGGCAGCTGAAACAACAGTTTGCTTTGATTAGTTGACTGTTTATATTCTCTGGAAAAGGGAACTCTTACAGCTTGCTGTCACGTTCCCGCTTGATGGTACCATCCACCTTGCTCAACGCCTGGTCAACCTCATCCTCGACCACATTGATGGAGGGACGTGCACTGTTTGGGTTGCTGTTGCTTGTCTTTTCGCTGGTCCTGAACGCTTGGCTGTCCAAGACAGTGGTGCTAGTTCGCTGAAATTGATTTAAGATACCTGTTTTAGTCTGGCTTCGGCCAACTTTAAAACTCCAACTTACTCGAGCCGATGTGCCAGCCAGCTGTTTCAAGTAGACCAAGTCACCATGCTTCAGGGATGTGCCCACCAGCTGGCTGCCACTGGCATGCAGCTCTGTTAGGAAGCTTCGCTCCTTGAACAGCCCAAATCCATCCACCTTCAACGCATTGTGGACGATTTCGTAGAGCTGCTTCAGATTGGATTTGGGCGAGATCTCTATGCGTTTGATGCCCTCCGCAGACTGAACGCGAATTAGCTGTAATGGAAATCAAAATAAATTATATAATTAGCAATTGATAATTAAGGCTGCTGCATTAATTGAGTTTCGTTACAACCGACTGTTTGCATAACACGAATAAACGATGGCGCACAAAGGCGTAGGCGAAATTGCGCTTCTTGTAGATGAACTGTTCGAGTAACAGAGGGGCACAGGCCATGTCTGGATGGGGTCCGGGTTGAGGTTGGGCAAAAGGAATGTGGCTTGGGTCTCGGTAAGGACGATGGCTTGGGCTTGGGTTGGGTGTCAAGTGTAGCTATAAAGCTACCAAAGCCTGAAAGGCTTTTCTATTTAGTGTTTCGGACTGTACGTCATGAAGGCGCGAACTTGACTGTGAAATTTAGTTGGCATCGCAATTAAAAACAAATGCAAACCATTGCCAAAAAGAGCGCTGATGTTAAGAGATGAATTTGCACGTTAAAAAAAAATAATTACGTTAATTTCTAAATATAAACAAATTTATTGTATTCAATCTTTTTACCATTATTCTATAGCTCTTTTTCATTAGATTTATGGGCTTACACTCTTCCAATACCTCACTTTCAATTACAAGTCAAAAATATACAGTGATTTTCTTTAAGTGCAGCCTAGAAATGTTTTCCTATTCGCCAGACAGACACCGGACACCTTTCGCATCCGCATTGGCACTGCACTTCGGCTGGTGGATGAACTCACTTCGATCGCCAGTAATTGCATGGTCACAAATTAGAGTTATTAATAATTTATTTAGGATTCGGGGTCTCAAAGAGCCCCCCTCGCATAGTACAGCCCTTCTCTCATCGCACCGCCTTCTCATCGCACAGACTGCACTCTCACACATTCACAAATCTACAAGTCATGGTAGGCTTTATTTTCACTTTCTGCACTTTTGGCCGGCGCATTAGGCACACACAAACTTCACACACTAGCCAAAGGCCTTAGGATGCACTTTTCATCTGCATTTTCACATTCACTTTCTTGCTGTTCTTTAATTTATAATTTCCAACATAAAGTGCAACAACAACAAACGCAGTGGCCACCAAAAACCGTCTTGGTTTGCCGGCTTTCGGGGTTACGTGTCCCAACACAGAAGCCGAATCACAACACGCACACAGCCCACTTGGGTCTAGGGTCATTACGCGGAACGCACTTAAGTATCACTCTTTAATAATTGTTAACAACAATTTACTTACAATTTTGTCAGTCATTGCGGCTATTGTAATTTTGTTTCTCACTCTCACAGCTGAGTGAGCTATCGATGTTTATATTTTATCAACATCAACGGGAAGATTTTTTCCTCCGCGACAGATGGTCACACTTAAATCGATATCATATTATTGGTGGTAAACTTAGCTATGAACAAGCAGTACATTAATCAGCAGAGGTTTAACAAGCAGTGTAATGAGAAATAATAATGTGTGTCTGTCGTTAACCACTGAAAAAGAGCAAACAACTAATTGTTAGTATTAAATGTATCAATAAATTTAAGCGGACAATTCAAAATGTCTTATCGATAATAGTTATTGTACATTTTTAACTTATTACAAATGCATCTCATCAATTTAGAGTTTAATAGAATTTGTGCACATACATATATTAATATTATTAGCGGCGCTCTGTTTTACAAATATTTAAATTCACTATAACAATCAACAAATCGCGTTCGGCATTTTAGTGGAAGACAGCAGCTAAGGAAAGCAGTGGAGGTGACTCCTGAAGCTCCTTTGAATTTCAATCGTACTTGAGGTTTCCCATGCAAATGTACTTAATGTCGACATAGTCATCGATTCCGTGCTTGGAGCCTTCCCTTCCCACGCCGGACTCCTTCACACCGCCAAACGGGGCCTCTGCGGCGGATATGATGCCCTCGTTGACGCCGACCATGCCCACTTCCAGGCGTTTGGCCACGCGAAACACCTGCTGCAAATTATCGCTGTAAAAGTAGCCGGCCAGGCCTCTCCTGGTATCGTTGGCCTTCGCCACAGCCTCCTCTTCGTCTCGGAAGCGGATGATGGAGACAACTGGGCCGAAAACCTCTTCCGTATACAGTTGAGCCGTGGGCGGTACATCGGTGACTATGGTCGGTGCGTAAAACAAGGAGCCAATGTCGCTCAGGGGCTTTCCTCCCAGGATGATATTCGCCTTCTTGGACCTTGCATCCTCCACAAATCCGCTGACTTTCTTGAACTGCATTTCATTAATGAGAGGTCCTAGCTGGACTTCGCACCCCTGGCCATTGCCAATCTTTAAGGCCTCCACGCGCTTCTTCAGCTGCCCCACGAACTGGTCGTAGACACCATCCTGGACAAAGAATCTGTTGGCGGAGACGCAGGTCTGTCCGCAGTTTCGGAACTTGGAGGCCATGGCACCATCCACAGCCTTTTCCACATTGGCCGAGTCGAAGACGATGAATGGAGCATTGCCGCCCAGCTCCAGGCATATTCTCTTGATCCCATCGGCAGAGTTGCGGAACAGCAGCTTGCCCACTTCTGTGGAACCGGTGAAGGAGATGCCCCTGACATCCGGACTCTTGCAGAACAGATCGCCAATGGGAGCCGCCTTGTTGGTAGTAACCACATTAATCACGCCTTTCGGGATGCCCGCATCCTCTGCCAGCTTTGCCACCGCCAGCGCCGTGAGCGGTGTGTCCTCCGACGGCTTTACCACTATCGTACATCCAGCGGCTAAAGCGGCTCCTGCCTTCCGCGTTATCATGGCCATCGGGAAGTTCCAGGGTGTGATCAAGGCTGCCACTCCGATAGGTTGCTTCATAACTATAATCTCGCGATTGGGCGCTGCACTTGGCACGATCTCGCCATAGATGCGACGCGCCTCCTCCGCGAACCATTCCACAAAGGCATTGCCGTAGGCCACCTCTCCTTTGGACTCATTGATGGGCTTGCCCGACTCCGCCGTCATTATCTCTGCTATCTCCTGCGAGTTCTGCTCAATCAGTTTGTGCCACTTCTGCATAGGCGAGATAAGATAAGCAGGAGGGTTAGCATTTAATCAGGAACCGTAATGCCGAGATGTGACCTACAGTCGAACTCTGCTATAAGATAAAAAAAAAAACTCACTTTAAGCAAATTGGAGCGATCCTTGGCGGTAAGAGACCGCCACTCCTTGGATTCGAAGGCCTGCTTTGCGGCATTGATAGCTTTCTGGGCATCCGCCACTGTCATGTTTGGGACCTTTCCGATCACCTCTCCGCTCGCTGGATTGCGGACCTCAAAGGTGCTCGCATCGCTGGAGCCAACCCAAACTCCGTCCACAAGGGCTTTGTCCTGGAGAAGAGCCGAAAATCCGCGCATCCTGCCGAAGTTATTGAGACCGCTGCTTCCCTTCAGTGCGACGCCGCTGAGCTGTCGCCACATTCTGCCGGCTGTTTAATTAAACAAGAAACAAACTCATTAGCAAATGGCTACTAATCGATTATAAACACCGGCGCTCTCGCTCTCTCGCACCTTTCTGACACCTGTTGTGAGGAGGAGGGAGAGTTTGACGGATTTATCTTATCTGCGCCGCTATCGGAAAGACCAGAGGGTGTCAAGAGGCTCTGGCAATATCTCCTCTATGGGGGCTTTGATTGGATTTAATTGATTTTAATTCGATTCGCGACCATTCGTTCAGTGCAGTGTGCCCGCTGTTTGTTATTTGAAATTCGGAAAAACAAAATGGATTTTTTTCTATCACGGCAACTGGTCACACCTTAAATAACAATCTATTTACGTATAAACAAAAAGTAACCGTTTTATAAGTAATAATTTTGCAATATGAACTAAATATTTATAAATACATATTACAAAATAACGAAACACAATTAAAATAGAAGTAATAAAAGTATTTTCTTTTATCAATAGACTTATCGAAATCTAACAAAAAATAATCGACCTCCATTTCATATCAATCAGCTTTTGTTTGTCTAAAGGGCGGCAACCGTTTGACTTTCAAAAAGAAAAAGGAAGACAAAAAAGAAAGTCCATGTTTGCTTCCTGATTCCCATTTTAGCCGTTGGTTTGCAGCGATTTTAAGGCAGCGCCACTTGTCCCAGCAATCTCTGGACAATCGCTGCCTTTCGCTCGATCTACACAGATCTTTTTTGCATGCGCCGCCGCCGCCACCGTTGAAACATGGAGCCGGAGTGTGCTCCATTTATTATGACTTTGCAGTCAGCTAGCCAGGCATCACGACCATAGATTTCACATATGCCGGCGGCAACGATTCTGGCAGAAGATGGGCCTCCGAGTCCATCGTTCACACTTGACCAAAAAAAGTTGTGTTTGTAGTTCATAAGGTTTGAGAATTCAGTTTATTTAAATACAATACAAATCTTGACAAAACAAACCAAAGTTTTTTATACCCTTGCAGGGTATTATAATTTCAGTCAGAAGTTTGCAACGCAGTGAAGGAGGCACCTCCGACTATATAAAGTATATATATTCTTGATCAGGATCAACAGCCGAGTCGATCTAGCCATGTCCGTCTGTCCGTCTGTCCGTCTGTCCGTCTGTCCGTTTCTACGCAAACTAGTCTCTCAGTTTTGAAGCTATCTGAATGAAACTTTGTAGTTAGCCTTCTATATAGTCTCACTCGTATATATGTCGGAACGGGCCGGATCGGACGACTATATCATATAGCTGCCATAGGAATGATCGGAAAATTTTTACAAAAAAAATTTTAACTTTTTCAGTTCTCTATAGAATTGAATCAAATTTGAGATATAGCCATTTAATATTATTCTACAATTTTGTGTAAAATTTTATGAAAATCGGACGACTATATCATATAGCTCCCATAGGAACGATCGAGAAATTAATTCAATTAATAAGTATAACATTTTCAGTTTTCAACAGATTTTCATCAAATTTGAAATATAGCCGTTTCATATTATTCTACAATTTTGTGTAAAATTTTATGAAAATCCGACTAATATATCATATAGCTCCCATAGGAACGATCGAGAAATTTGAGAGGAATGAGAATGGCGGTGGCTGTTGTCGGAAGACTGACAATCGCGGTGGCGATAACATTTTTAGTTTTCAACAGAATTTAATCAAATTTGAGATATAGCCATTTCATATTATTCTAAAATTTTGTGTAAAATTTTATGAAAATCAAACGACTATATCATATAGGTGCCATACAAACGATCGTTTGATGTAGAAGAAAAATACAAATCTGTGAATATAAAGCTGCAAATATAATATGTATAGGTGAATGAAATAAAAGCAGGTATTACTTCATTGTTTTTAAACACATATATATATAATTTATATGGTATGGATTTCTAGTCATAGAATTTCTATCTGCAAGGGTATTTAAACTTCGGCGGGCCGAAGATA